GCTGAATCAAGTCAACTCTGAACTCTTGGTAGAGCAAAAAGGAGTAGATTGAAGCCATCCTATTTTGCACATATAATTAAAATACAGAACGGACTCAAAAAGATATTACTGCTGGGATCAGTGGAACAGGCAGTATGAAAACAGAAAGACCAAACATGATATGGGTTGACTCAGTAAAGGAATAGTTGTTACTTTGCAAAACCTGAGCAGGACTTACTGGAAAAGACAATATTGCTAGGAAAGAGTCAGTAGGAAGAGAGAACAACCTAACTTGAGATACTGTGGATCTGAGAAGAGCTGTTAATGACAGAGCATTTGGGAGGCCATTTACTCACACCTCAGAAGTGACTTGATGTCACATAACACCTTTGGAGTTTTTTTTAAAGTACCAAGCAATGGGTGGAATGGAGACTTTATCAGGAGACTGTGACAGGATATAGGCCCCAAAGCTTTGCTAACATCGTAAGACAATCACCGCTTAAATGAGTGAACTTCTGGATATTTGTTCTTTACTCTTTTTTACTAAATTTTAAAAAAACATATTTTCAATATCTGTATTTTTTTTTTTTTCAAAATTTGTTTTGGGTCTCCATTTTTACAACCAGACACAAAATCTCCTTGCAAGCATGATTCTCATAAGCCTGTCTGGCCAGGGAGATATTTAAAAGTTTGCTAAGAGTCAGCTAATTGGGTCCTGATTGACAGTTTCAAAAGTTCATATTGCCCCAGTTGACCTGCAGTTGATTTCTCGTTTGAAAATGTATGTGAGACTGTTTGGTCTGAGAAATAATGAGATAATGCTGGAGGACTGTCACTCCATAAATTTCTTTAAAACAAACCCATCTTTTCAGTCTGTTTCTATGGCTTTTCTCTCTAAATATCTCTCTCTGCCTACCAATGTACACAATGCTTCATTTTGCAAATTCCTGCTGGCTAGCCTGTACCACACATGTCCACTCTTACAACAAAGTATCTGTTTTTCCCTTTTGAAAAAACTTTTTTGCAGATCAGTATTTCAGCCCCTTGAGTTTGGATTCTTTCTGAGTAAAAAAAAAAATCCAGTGTATCCACAAATCTCTCCTCCAGCACCAAATTTCAAACAAAATATTTCCCCCGTCAGCTTCCTTTACTGTTCAGCTTTCACACTCATACATGTTGATCAGAAATATAAGACTTTGAATGATCTTGCTCTTGGTCTCCAGTGGCACATCCTTACACTTGGGTCATGCATGTTCATAAGTAATAAATATCAAGAAATGCCTTTTATTGTCTTAATTATGGCCACATAATAAAATAAATAGAATAAGATGAGCAAGTAATCAAACCTCACATAATTAAGAGATATCAAAAATCCTTAAGTATGTCTACCAAATGAATATCCATTTGCCTTTTGTCAATGGGATTTTTAATGATCTGACAAGGTATCAACACAACAGAGAGGAAAGGAAAAAATGCGATTCTGTCCTCCTTTTAAGTAAAGTGATGAAATAAATGTCCTCGACAATAAGTCTGTACTGCAAACACAATTCAGAGAACTTAGACACAGACTGTTTTTTATCTGTTGGTTGAAATCCTGTTACTTAGCATAGTAGGTCACACAACAGTAGAGACAGTGGAGAATCTGAAGAGTCAATTCCTCCATAAATTCCACTGATTCAATTGGGCCTGCTCTAGTTGCAACTTCCAAGCTAAGCAAGATGATTTCAGCCAGCGCTTCCCCCTTAAGTTTTAATACTGATTTTAATGTTCTGTTCTAACAGATATTATTTATATGTTTGAATTCTACTTTTGATATTTTTATCAGTGTTTGTTACGTGTGCTTTGAAAACTTGTTTTCAAATGCAAAAGTGAGTTCTAAAAGTTTGGAAAAATGTGAATTATCCTAAAATGTCTGTCTAGGGCAACAGATATTTTAAATACAAAACACATCAATCCTGTGCATGTTTAACTGGAAATAAATCCCCCACTGAAAGTGGTAATATTATCTTCTGAATAAATGCACACAGCATAAACTCTTTAAGGGGCATGCTTTCCCCACAAAAAAGCCATATAAACTCCTTTTATGGAGGCATGCTCTAAAATATGGGGGCTCTCATGGTTCTTATCAGTTCATACAGAGTTTGGATTAGCAAACACAATAAATCCTGACACATGAAGAGCTGACGGTTAAGATGTCAGGTCATCAGCCTTCCTACTCCCAATGGGTCAATGGGTGGGTCCTTGTGATACCATAGGATAGATAATTGTGATGTCACACAGGTAAGGCAGGTAAGGGTTGGGAAAGAAGTCAAAACTGCTTTGGAGCCAGCTAAGTATAAGAAAGAGCAATCTAGGTCAAAGGGCCCAGCTAATATGGAAATTAGGATCCAGGACGAGCAACTAACCAATCAATCCACCAATCAACCAACCTTTTTTTGGCAGCCAGGAGGGTAGTAAAGGATACTCCACAGCTGCTGCCATTCTCACTAAGGCTTACATCCTCAGTGGTCTTACCTACAGCAGTGGTCCTCAACCTTGTGCCTCCAGATGTTCTTGGACTACAACTCCCAGAAGCCTTCACCACCACCTCTGTTGACCAGGATTTCTGGGAGTTGAAGTCTAAGAACATCTGGAGACCAAAGGTTGAGGACCACTGACCTACAGCACAAATAAAACTGCAACTAGTTCACATGACCCTGTACTGCTTCTTTCAGAGTTCATACAGCCAAAAAAATTCATGTTTGCATCAACCAGGTATTTCCCACTCCCTTCCCTTATCTCTTGGCTTTTGATGTACCAATATTTATACAAGTGTCACACAAGCACCTTCACACTGAGATAGTGACTCCTGGGCATGAGTAGGAAGTGAGCAAAGATGAATACCCAGGTACATTAAAGCCACCTCTCACACAAGAATCAAACCTTTTCCTCCACCTTGTCTCTCCACTGGATATCAAAACCTGAAGAACTATCTACTAATAATATAGTCAGAGACTGAAGAACTGGCTATTGAAACTGAGGGCCAAATTACATATTATAGATACTCTCTCATTACAGCTGACATACCATCAGCATTTTAGAGGTATGACTCACAGCTTTGTGTCTAAGATATCAAACTTTAAATCAAAGACAGAACACCTGTTCATCTCCCAAACATCAATCACAAAATAAAGCAAACTACTTTTTCAATTACATGAGGTGAGAAAAAGTCCTGCTGTGACATTCAGAAACCTTCAACAGTTATTCCCTCTTCTAATGATGGGCTGGGTGCAACCTATAGTTTGGTCTTCAGTCTTGCTTTTGTTTTGACTTTGGCAGCTACTGCATTGTAATCCAAAATAACGCTTTGCCTCAGACTTGATGCCTTGTTCTATATTCAATGACAGGAAGAGATGCAATGGACCGGGGCATTCTTTGAGGCATAAAAAGCCCAAGGAAGAAGGTGTAGGAACTCATATAGGAGACGTTACTCTCATAAAGTACTAACTCAGCAGTGCCTTTTCACTACTTTGCAGGTATGCCTCAACTGCTCTTTGAGAATACCTGAACCGTGATATTCTGAGTTAGGTTGAATTCAGATGTGTTTGTTAATCCTGCTCAAGCAGTTTTAAGAATAGAGTTCAAGGATCCACACTGATTCAGTGATAATTCCCAGCTCAACCGAAATGCACCATCAGGAATTTATAGGGCTGTTTTATGGTAAACATTGATTGCATTAATAACGGAAACAAAATTTTTAGAGTATATATTTTTAATTGCATTTCAATTATTTTGCCTTTTTTTGTATTTTAAATGTTGAAAGCAGCCCAGAGACCTTTGGGTAGTGTGGGCAGCATATAAGTTAAATAAATAAAAATAAATAAATAAAATGTGATCTTCCATACAGTTCAACACCATTTTCCCCAGCAGACTACTCTATAGGTCTACTGTGACACTGCATTCAATGGAGTTTACTCGTAGCTATTCAATACAGGATGTCAGCCTCACAATTTCCATTGGTAACATTACGGTTGGTCGTGGTTACAGATGCTCAAATGTGTATACATTTAGAAGCAAAATATGGCCACCCAAAAATTAAGTACACTTCTCCCTTGAATTGCATGGGTCTGAACAGCACAGTTTTGATTTTTTTTTTTGAATAAATACATACACACACATATACAAACATACTGTATCCTTGGCCACCCAGAACCCCATGAGTTCAACACTGAAGGTATTAAAATGGTATACTTGTCCCCAAACACAACATATTTAATACAGCCTCTAGATCCGGGCTCATAAGCACTTTTAAGGCTCATTACACATGGCATTGTATGGAAGGTTTGTCAATATTATGGAAGAGTAGGTCATTCCTAGATAGGTAGGTAAATCTCCAGAAATACATTTCTTTATAAATTTAAGGAACAAAATGAGAGAGATTGAGAGATTGAAGGCCAGCAACAACCTGTGAGTTTCAAGGCCACAGATAATTTGGTGGGGAGGGGGGGAAAAAGCAAAAGCAATGACACAGAAGGGAGAGCAGAGAGAATGGGTCTGTCTCAGCTTCATATCCTGGAGATAGGGATTAAGGTTAAAAGTATGCACATCATGGTATTAAAATGCTCCCCTGCCTCTGGTACTCCCCAGAAAATCCTGTCACACTTGTTACATGCCAAAGAATTGCCCAGTTTAAGACTAGCTGCAGGTCCCACACTTGGCCCTACTTAGCATTTCATAGTATAACTGGGGAAAGTGTTTTCTTGGTGGAGACACCCCATTCCCTTTCCTCTTCTTAAATATCGTCTTATCCCATGAAAAAAACAACAACCCAAAGTTCCTCTTGCAAGAACTACAGCTCCCAGAATTCTTTATCTGGGCAATCTGGGGAATTGCAGTCCAAGAAAGTAACTTTTTCAAGTTCTGGCTGGAGCTTTGAACAGGAACATTCATGTTGTGGGAGGTGAATCTACACTGCAGCAACCTTTTACTTATTTCAAGATGGTTCTGACAAAGGGGGAGGACGAGTCACATCAGTGTATTACCTCGAAAAGCCAGACAAAGAGAACGAATACTCCCATAGAACTCATCATGCCACTGTAGTAGTTAAGCAGAGCCTCTCGGCAGCCGCGGTTCCACAGGTTGAGCTCTTCCGTCTGAAAGTCATAGCTGTAGTGAGCTGAGTTATTTGAGACCTGGTACTGGATACATGGTCGTGGGGAACTCGGGTTGCAGCAACTGAAGGGGACACCGTCCACCAGGTATCTGCCATCCACGTTGCTTTTAATACGACTGCAAGCAAGCAAAGCACAGTAAGTTACAAACATCAAGATTTCTCATTTTACATACAGTATATGAATGTAAAAGTTGTTGTGCCAAACAAGCAATCTCCATAGTCTATCTAAAAGTTCCCTTCCCAGTGCTTCAAAAAAAAATATTTCATTTTAACTTGTAAAACATCCATTCTGCTACTCCGAATGGATTACGTAATTCAGAATAGAACCCTGGTTTCCTCCTGCCAACCTAGCAGTTTGAAGGCATGTGAAAATGTGAGTAGATAAATAGGTACCTGGCCACGTGAACACGGAAAATGTCTTCGGACAAACGCTGGCTCTATGGCTTGGAGACAAGGATGAGCACCATGCCCTAGAGTCAGACACGACTGGACTAAATGTCAAGGGGAACCTTCCTTTTGATGAATGCAAGAATACTCAGTCATACTTATGTGTCCCCAGTAAATATGGAATGAAAAGCAGAGAAAATCACGTTCTTGAACCACCCTGACTGTTGAAATGCTAAAGAGGAACTCATTTGTATTAAGCAGAGCTGCAACCTTTAGTCAAGAGGTGAGAAATGTGTCTGTACTCCAGATGTTGCTCCTCTGACTGCAAGTTTCTTTTTTCTAACCAGAATACTCAACAGGAACGGAGATTGGGCAGTCCAACAGCATTCAAAAGACTACACAGCCCCCTTCTCTTATTTAACCACTTTGATCATATACAGTATTTTAAAAATTCAACTGACTGAAGAATGTCCCTAATTATCATGTTGGACATTGTTGTTTAGTCGTTAAGTCATGTCCGACTCTTCGTGACCCCATAGACCAGAGCACGCCAGGCCCTCCTGTCTTCCACTGCTTCCTGGAGTTGGGTCAAATTCATTTTGGTATGTTGGACATTACCATTTTTTAAAAGGTGCATGTAGTTTAAAAAACTGGAAAAAAAAGGACCATCACAGTTGATGCTAGATTAAATTAAACCTAATCTCTGTCTAGAAGCAGATGGATGCTATCATATTTTGGACAGAAGACAAAACTCATTAGAAAATATAATAGTGCTGGAAAATATTGAAGGCAGCAGAAAAAGAGGCCAAATATGAGATAGATTGATTCAATAAAGGAAGCCACTGCCGTGAGCTTGCAAGACCTGACGAGGACTGTTAATGATAGGACATTTTGAAAATAATTGATAGGATCACCGTAAACCAAAAGTGACTTGCTTGCATGTCACGGCCATGAGCTTGCAAGACCTGACCAGGACTGTTAATGATAGGACATTTTGAAGATAATTGATAGGATCACCATAAACCAAAAGTGACTTGCTTGCATGTCACAATAAAAGCAGACAACCATATGTTTCCAGTCTTGGGTCCCCAGATGTTCTTGGATTAAAACTCTCAGAAGCTTTCACCACTAGCTGTGTTGGCCAGGATTTCTGCAAGTTGTAGTCCAAGAACATCTGGGGATCCAAGATTGGAAACCACTGACTAAGAGGAAACATCGACCACCATCATTTCTCATTTGGAGATAAGGCGTTCTCTAAAACGCTGCTGCCCTGCTTGTCACTTCGGACAGACCTATCTTGTAAAACCAAAGAATATTTATTGCTTCGAAACATTTTTTTAATTGCATAAATATATATCAATGAAAACAAGACGCTTGCAATCAGAAAAGTGCTGGTGATTTTCCCACCCTTCTTCACGCTCCCCATCATTTCTCATTTGGAGATAAGGCGTTCTCTAAAACGCTGCTGCCCTGCTTGTCACTTCGGACAGACCTATCTTGTAAAACCAAAGAATATTTATTGCTTCGAAACATTTTTTTAATTGCATAAATATATATCAATGAAAACAAGACGCTTGCAATCAGAAAAGTGCTGGTGATTTTCCCACCCTTCTTCACGCTCCACAAAAGCCTCTCCTTGGTTTAAGGTTATCCTCCTGAACCAAGTGAGTTGTTGGGGAGGGGGGCGCTGCTGTGGGGGGGTTTACTGAAAACTGAGTAGAGAACCTGCAGAGAAGGAAGTGAGATTAATCCTATGCAAATATAGCATTGAACTGCATTGCACGTTGTGGGAGCTATGCAGTGAACTCCATTGGGGATATTTCTGTGTTGCCATGTACAGAATTATTTATTTATTTATTTATTCATTACATTTCTAACCTGCCCATCTAGTCATTTTGACTACTCTGGGCGGCATACATCAAACACAACAAAACCAATTAAAATAATATCAGCATCCAAAAATAAAATAAAATAAAATAGCAGTTTATAGGAAAAATGGTGGGGCTTGGCTGACTCATGCCTTAGTTGCGTCCCACTTGGATTACCATAATGTGCTCCAGAGGGGCTGCCTTTGAAAGGTATTCTGAAGCTTCAAGCTGGCCCGAAATGGTACAGTCAAACTGCTGAGCAGGCCTTGTTAGTTACAGGGAGCATATAACTCTCCAGTTAAAACAGCTCCACTGGCTGCCTGTCCATTTCTAGACCCAGTTCAAAATGCTCTATCAGTTATGACTCAGAGGCACTGTTTCTCTCTACAACGAACCTCCCCAGTTTTTAAGATCTTTGGGAGAGGCCCCTTTTAGTCTGGCTGCCCTCACAGGTAGGGTTGCCAAATACACGGGTACTAAAAGGAGGACACAGAAAGACAAAAAGGAGGACAAAGGAGGACATATTGAATGTTTCATTTGAATCATTCCAGATTAAACCCACAATCAATACAATTTTATTACAATAGCTGCCAATAAATGTTTCTTAGTGAACCGACCAAGAAACAGTCATGTTAAAAATTAAAAATAAATTCAATAGGAGTTTTTTTATATTTCAAAATACTGGGGGCGGGCAGGCAGGTGGGGGCGGGGAAAGCCAGGGGGAAAGGGGTCCATCCACTTCTCCCAGCAGTGGTTAGAGCATTTGTAATTTGTACAAGGAAGTACTGTATCTATGAATGATTCCTTGTGCAAGACCCGAAGTTGGCCAAGGGCTTGTGCAAAATATGACTGCATGGGCAGAAAATAGAAAAAGGATTTTGTCATATGGGTTTCATTGTTTTTAATATTTTAATTTCTTATGCATTAGTTTTATCTGTTTTTATAATCATTTGTGAGCCATCTTGTGTCCCTACTGTATATTGGGAGAAATGTGGTAGAGAAGTAAAATTAACAGACTGAATAAAGATGGCCCAATTGAAGTGAGTGCAGAGTGCAAGTAAGTGACAGTAATCAGTATCTGATCCAAAAGAGTGAGTTATGAGGCTGCTTAACAAATTTGGCATTTACCACAGTTTTGGGTAAACTGTGAAAAAATTTAAAAGGGCTATGCTTTATAATAAAAATTCCAAATCCACTGCTGGAATACCATTCCTGATGGTACCTAATGGTTCAAACTGACATAATAAATTTCACAGCTGTATCAACATGGCCAGTAATAATCACAAAAGCTTTCAAAGGCTTTCTCCATTGTTCAAAATATGAAGTACCCCTTGTTGAAACAACACCCACTGTTGTAGAGTTTAGTCAACATCACATTAATTACTGATGACAGAAATTCAGCCTTTAAACTTGAAACAACTTTAACTATGTGTACATAAGGTGAGTTTAATAGCTGAACAGGTTACTGGTCTCCCCTGTGAAATGGAATCATTAAACCCGAAACATAAAACAATTTTATACTAGTTTGATTGTTTTTCTCCCAAAGAATGATGGGATATTTTAAATGGGTAACAGTGCTGAGAATTCTCTGACCCGGTTGGCCAGCTCTCACCACAGACCATTTTTACTATTTAATTAGGCATCCTTCAGTCTTGAAAGACTATGGTAACGTGCTCTGTATGGAGGACTTGGAACAGCATCTGGTGTGGCTGAGGAGGCCGATTCAAGAGTGAATTTTTACTATAGGCATTATTAAATTAATGTCCCACAAATCATGCTCAGGACAGCTAACAATAAAATAAAATGCAAGATAAAATGCACATGTGAAATAAGCGACATCCACTACCTAAAACTTTTATAAGCAAATGCCGTCAACTTCTATGTCAAATACTTTTCTGAATAAAAACATATTTGACTATTAATAGCAAGATGCCTGGGTGTGATGATCAAGAAGCCCTCTTCTGTATTCTCACCAAACATATCTCCTTTTATGGTGAAGGAAGGAGAAGTACCGCTTCCAAGAACCATAAAATGTGCTACCTATTAGCTATCAGTATCAGTCAACCAAACAGGCAGACAAGAAATATACAACAAAGCCCAGTGAAAAAAAGGAGAGAGAAAAGTCTCAAGATGTTAATAGGGGGGGAATTGGTTGTTGATGTATAAAGCCCTTAGTGCCAGGATCCGACCATACTTTCTTCCCCACATGTGCCCAATCAACTCTTGAGATCCTCAACAAAATACTTATTGGTTATTGTACAAGGGGGAGGAGGGAGTGAAACGGTGTGCCGTGAGGCCTTTTTAAATGTCCCCTAGAGGTGGTATAGCTCAGGAGACAGTTGTGCCTGACTGCAGAATCAAAGGCTGTGAGTTCAAATCCTGCATATGCCTACTGGCAGAGAGGAAAAGGCAAGCTCACCCAGAGTGTGTTTGGCTGATGCGGTTCATTGCTCCGCCACATGTGCAAGCATTAGGCTACCTGCACAGTCTCAGAGTACCACCAGAATAAGGGACTGATATACCACTTATGAATAGGTTTTATCTATAATACCCTGAGAGGACCACCAGACTTTTAAGCAACTTGAAAACACATTATTATTACTAATAGTAATATTATTATTACCTTTCAGTACTCCCCAGAAAAAAAGCAGTTTCTGCTAAAATTTGGTGTCAAACCACTAAACCTAAACAGGCCTGAGGCAGCTGCTGTGCTGAGCTGTAAACGTCTCCTGACAATATACTTGTTTATCAGTCCTTTACCCAACTCAGGGTAACTACCCTATTTTTGTATTATTGTTGGAATACTTTGAACATTTATCCTTTTACTGATTGTTTTAAAACTGTTTTATAGCTCGTTGGAT